GTGCCACCCCCACCGCTGCCGGCACCGCCTCCCGGCGTGCCCCCACCACCCATCATGCCCCCACTGCCCCTCTTCCCGCCAGGCCTGTTCCCCATGATGCAGGTGGACATGAGCCACGTGCTAGGTGGCCAGTGGGGAGGCATGCCCATGTCCTTCCAGATGCAGACGCAGATGCTCAGCCGTCTGATGACGGGCCAGGGCGCATGCCCCTACCCGCCCTTCGCCGCGTCGGCTGGCCTGCAGTTCGTCAACCTGCCGCCCTACCGGGGCCCCTTCACCCTCAACAACACGGGGCCAGGCCGCGGGCAACCCTGGCCACCCCTGCCAAAGTTTGACCCATCAGTGCCGCCGCCCGGCTACGTGCCCCGGCAGGAGGACCCACACAAGGCCACGGTGGATGGTGTCCTGCTGGTGGTGCTCAAGGAACTCAAGGCCACCATGAAGCGTGACCTGAACCGCAAGATGGTGGAGGTGGTGGCCTTTCGGGCCTTTGACGAGTGGTGGGGCAAGAAGGAACGTATGGCCAAGGTGTGTGGGCACCGGGAGGCGGGTGGGCACAGGGTACCCAGCCAGCCACCCCTTCCAAGCCGTGTCAACCAGTACTGGAAAAGTCCTCGCACCCTCCACTGGGGTGCTGTGGGCTGTAGCGGCCCAGAGCTCCGTGTAGATACTGCATGTGTGTGTTTTCCTGAAGTTCCTTCCATCCTCCTAGTCCATGGCACTCTTGCCCCCGAGGGACACTGTCCTACTGCATTCAGTAGGTGCTGTCTTTATTTTATCCCACATGTCACAAGCCAGTTGAATTCAGGAAGACCCAGGGGTGTCAGGCTAGAGTGGTGGTGTGGAGGGATCTCACAGGCCGATCTTCAGGACAAGGACCCCCGAGGCTTGCCTCCCGAGGGGTCTCCGGGTGCACAAACCTTTCGTGAGGACCACTGGCTCCTCCAGCGAGTCAGGAGCTCGACCCAAACCCGGCCAAGCAGCCCTTCTGGGAGGAGCCTGCCCTTCCCTCCCGAGAGTGGCTGTGCTCTTACTCCAGTGGCCTTCAGGTTAACAGCCCATTGAGGGGGTGCTGTGCCCCCAGGGCTCCGACATGGCTAACAGTAGAACCTCAGTCCTGTTTCTCTCGCCCTGGCGACAGCGTCACACGTTGGCCACGTCTGGTGTCCCATCAAGTGCAGCTGGAGTGGAGCTGGTCCCATTTTGCAGAAGGGGAGACTGAGGGCAGGGCAAAGCGTGGAATCGGTTCCGGGGCCATGCAGGGAATGGTGTGGCTGCTGGTGCTGAGCTGCAGGCGTGTGGCTCCAGGGTAACCAGTGACCGTCTCCACTGTTCCGTGTCCTAGGCTTCGCTGACTCCCGTGAAGTCAGGTGACCACAAGGACGAGGACCGCCCGAAGCCCAAAGACCGCATTGCCTCGTGCCTGCTGGAGTCATGGGGCAAGGGCGAGGGCCTGGGCTACGAGGGCCTGGGGCTGGGCATCGGGCTGCGCGGGGCCATCCGCCTGCCCTCCTTCAAGGTCAAGAGGAAGGAACCACCAGACACAGCCTCAGCTGGTGACCAGAAGCGGCTACGGCCCTCGGCCTCTGTGGATGAGGAGGACGAAGGTGTGTCCCCTGGCCCCTCGCTGGGCAATGCACCCGCTCCTCTCACCCCTCAGCTCAGCTCTGACGGCCCTTCTCCCCCAGAGTTGGACCGGGACCGAGACATGCCAGATGCCTCTTGCGAGCTTGCCAAGCGAGACCCCAAGGGCGTGGGCATGCGGCGGCGGCCAGCGCGGCCCCTGGAGCTGGACAGCGGCGGGGAGGAGGACGAGAAGGAGTCACTGTCCGTGTCCTCCTCGGCCTCCTCGTCCTCGGCCTCGTCCACCACGTCGCCCTCCTCCTCAGCCTCAGACAAGGAGGAGGAGGGGCAGGAGAGCACCGAGGAGGAGGGGGAGGGGGGCGAAGAGGAAGAGGTCGGGGAAGAGGAGGAGGAGGAGGAGGAGGAGGAGGAGGGCGGCCCCAGGAGCCCCATCTCCTCGTCGTCAACCTCGTCCACATCAGAGAAGGTACACAGCGGGCGCCGAGGCCTTGGGAACCGGCGGGGCCAGCTCGGAGGCTGACCTGTCCCCAACTCCTCCCTGTTCCCAGGAGGACGACGGTGATGAGCCGGACAGCGATGACCGGGAAGAGTCTGACGAGGAAGACACAGCCCGGTCGCAGGCCAGTGGGAAGGAAGAGCTGGACTCGGAAGAAGGTGAGTGGGCCGGGCGGCGCACCCCATGTGCACCCATGGTGGGTGGAGCAGCAAGTGACCCCGTGTCTGTCCCCCACCCAGAGGGGACCGTGAGCGCCGCCACCTCCAAGGCAGACGTGGAATCATCCAGCGAGAGTTCCGAGTCTTCAGGGTTCGAGTCCAGCTCAGAGTCTTCGTCCTCGTCCTCAGAAGATGAAGAGGAGGAGGAAGATGAGGAGGAGGAAGGCGAGGAGGAGGAAGGGGAGGAGGAGGTGACTGAGGACAGCGTGGCTCCTCCTGCCCCAGGAGACTTGGCAGAGGACCTGGAAGAAGAGCTGCTGGCCACAGAGACAGCTGTAACAGGTTCCCTGGGCCTGGAAGAGGACATGGACATCCAGGTGGAGGACGAAGTCCCCGAAGAGCCAGTGCCCACAGGGGAAGAACCTCCTTTGCCTCCAGCCATCAGGGAGCCCCCAGCAGAGCCAGGCCCAGAGCAGGAAGGAGCCGTGCAACTGTCTCCAGAACCCACCGATGGGGAGATGGCAGCCCGGTCCCCGTTGTCTCCTGAGCACACCCCAGGTAAACCCCACAGCTCTGGAGAGGAGGGCAGCAGGTGCCCACCCCAGCAGGACGAGCGCCAGCTTACCTGGGTCGGTCACTTAACCCTCCCAAGGCTTTCCTCCTCTAAAATGGGGCCATTCAGGTCACGGGGTCTAGTGCGGTGCTGTAGAATGTGCCAGGAACCACCTCAGGAGAACAGCGCCAGCACGTCCCTCAAGTCCATGGCCGTCCTGAGGCCCGCCCTCAGACTCCTGTTCCCATGAGATGCCTCTGTAAAGGCAGTGGGTGTCACAGTCAGTTGATGGCAGAGACACCACACCCATCATCCTGGGGAGGTCTCACACAGCACAGGAAAGAGGCCAATGCCTGGATCCAACAGAGCTTAGCGCAGTGATATGGGTCCTGTGCCCAGCGGGATGCCAAGCCACGCCTGACCTGGCCAAACTTGATGTGGCCAGTGCAACTTGGGGGCTGAATTCAGAGTATGATGTGACTTGAATTTGTTTGAATTTAAATACCTCCCTGTAGCTAGCACAGACCACTGATGGCGTCCTTCTAAGGAGAAAAAAAAGTTTTTGTTGTTTTATTCTGGGATACTTTGTCAGGGAACCACAAGTCTCTGATTATTGATGGAAGTACTTGTTATGTATCATGTGTATTCCCGAGAATCTTGATGGTGTAGTGGTTAGAATACTTGGCTACTAATCTCAAGACTGACGGTTCAAATCCACCAGGTGCTCCCCAGGAGAAAGCTGGGGCTGTTGATTCCCAGGCACATGGGAGACAGCACCTCCAGGGCCAGGATATATTGGAATTGACCAACAGCAGTAGGTTTGATTTGCTACATCCTTGGCACTGATTCTGGCACTGACATTACACAGAAAAAGACCTGCTCCGTGAAGCTAGTACACGGCCAGCGGGCAGGAAGTAACAGATAACTGCTGGGGGGGATTTTCTGAGGCTCTCCTAAGTCCGCAGACAGGCGAGGCCCACAGAAGCTCTTCTCAGGCCCCTGCCCCACGCTCTCTGAGGAGCACCCCTCATTTTCCTGGGTTCACGTCACTGTGCGGACATGGCTTTGTGCACCCACTGCAGGCTTGTAGCGCTGCCGCGCCACGCTCGTCTGTGGGCGCTGCTGGGCCCGAGCAGGTGCACACGCTGTGTCTGTGTCACGTCGTGGTCGTTCTTGCTCTGGGTAACTACTCCCCGGGATGCTTTTATGCACTTAGATGATACAAACTCAAACCATTAAAGGCCGAGTGGGCCGGGCTCCTGGAGAGCCCTCTGTGAGTCCCCACGGCTGTGAGTGACAGGCAGGCTCACTCATTGTTCTCTCTGAAAGCAGCTGATGGATTCAAACCACCCACCTTGTAGTTAGCAAGCCCAGCTTTCCCCCCACAGGACACAAGGGCCCTTGTTTAATTGTTGTTGGGGAGTACTGTCGATTCAGAACTGACCCACAGCTGACCCTCCGGTGCGATTTCAGGGACAGTTAATTGCGTGGGAAGAGATTGTCCATCTGTCTCCAGCAGAGCAGCTGGTGGATTCAAACCACGTTCCTTTGAGTTGGCAGCCCTACTCCTTACCCCCAGTGCTCCTATGTTGAAAAGATTGCAACGTAATGTCAGTACAGCTTTTAAATGCACTGGGAAACAAACCCAAGCATGGGTGTGATGCTCAACGGACCGAATCCAAACCGGCAGCGTTTCTGAGCCGGCCTGTGTTCTGTGGTCGTTCATAAAGCTCCTACTGTGTGTGTCACTAGTCCGGGTGCTGGGTGGACCTGTGGGTGTGGCTTAGAAGGACGTTGTCCCAGGGTGGTGTGGGCCCTGCATGGACAGAGGGTAGCCGTGTCTGCATCGGTTAACGATGTTTTTTTCTCTCTGTCCTCTCAGTAGAAGATGTCTTGGACACAGAGGCTGAGCCACCGGCAGTGCCGTCCTCACCTCCACAGCCACCATTGCCACACCCTCGGCCCCCACGACCACCGAGCCCACCACCAGAGCCGGAAGCCCCAGCACCCCCACAGCCCCCGGTCTCTCTGGAGCCTCCCCCTGAGGAGCAGCCCCCACGCACGCCGGGCCTCTGTGGGAGTCTGGCCAAATCACAGAGCACAGAGACCGTGCCGGCCACGCCGGGCAGGGAGCCTCCGCTGTCGGGGGGCAGCGGCAGCCTGTCTCTCAGCTCCCCTCAGGTGCCCGGCAGCCCCTTCTCCTACCCAGCTGCGTCCCCCTGCCTAAGCAGTGGAGGCCTCCCTCGGACGCCGGGCCGGGACTTCAGCTTCACACCCACCTTCCCCGAGCCCGGTGGACCCCTGCTCCTGCCTGTCTGCCCCTTGCCCGCTGGCCAGCGGGATGAGCGGGCTGGGCCATTGACCTCCCCGGTGCTCCTGGAGGCAGGGCTGCCGCTGCCGCTGCCCCTGCCGCTGCCCCTGCCGCTGGCATTGCCTGTCCCCGTCCTGCGGGCCCAGACGCGGGCCCCTGCCCCGTTGCCACCCCTGCTGCCGGCCCCACTGGCCCCTTGCCCGCCCCCCATCAAGAGGAAGCCGGGCCGGCCCCGGCGGTCCCCGCCGGCAGTGCTCTCCCTGGATGGACCGTTGGTCCGACCGCCCGGAGCTGCCCTGAGCAGGGACCTTCTTCTTCTGCCGGGCCAGCCCCAAACCCCCGTCTTCCCCAGCACCCATGACCCCCGGGCCGTGACCTTGGACTTCCGGAACACAGGAATCCCAGCCCCTCCACCACCCCTCCCACCCCAGCCCCTGCTGCCCCCACCCCTGCTGCCTGTGGAACCCACCAAGCTGCCCTTCAAGGAGCTGGAGAACCAGTGGCCTGCCGAGGCCATCTCCCTGGGCTCTCGAGGCCGTGATGAGGCCACTGAGGACGACGTGGAGCTGGCCAAGACACGGGGACCCTGGCGCCGGCCGCCCAAGAAGCGCCATGAGGACCTGGTGGCCACCTCGGTCTCGCCCGAGCTCTCACCGCCGCAGCCGCTCTTCCGGCCCCGCTCGGAGTTCGAGGAGATGACCATCCTGTACGACATTTGGAACGGTGGCATCGACGAGGAAGATATCCGCTACCTGTGTGTCACCTACGAGCGGCTGCTGCAGCAAGACAACGGCATGGACTGGCTCAACGACACCCTCTGGGTTTACCACCCTCATATCCTGCTCACTGGAGGGGCGTCCAGGCTCCAGCCCACCCCCGGGGGGTCTCTGTCTCCTGGTCCCGGGTGATGGTGGAGAAGAGTTGTTCTCTGCTGAGCACTTTGGGGGGGTGGCCCACAAGAGATAGGGAGGCACCTGTGTGCTCACAGTTTGACCCCACTTGCCCCGGAAGCAGTGCTCACAGCTCAGTGGGGTAGCAGCTGGTCTCAGTCTTCACTGTGCATTGGAGGTGACTGAGACTCAGGGGTTGAGTACCTTGTCCTGTCACACAGCTCTTAAGTGGAAGAGCTGAGCTTTGAATCTGGGCATTGGTGTCCCCAGAGATGGAATGGTTAACCACCGTGCTGTCCTGGGCTTGTTACCATGCCGCACGAAGTCAGAGCTGCCACCATCCCTCCCCATTGTGTTACCCATGAGTCAGGAGCACGTGATACCTTCATTCAGGGGGAACCATTAGCACCCCCAGTTTAAGGGGAGCTCTGGTGGCCTAGTGGCAAGAAGCTGCACTGCAATCCCAGAGGAACACGGTTCAAATCCACCAGATGCTCTGCCGGAGAAGGAGGCGCAATATCCTCCTGTACCAGTCAGATCTGATTTGACGGTACACGCACACAAAATAATAATAAAAAAAAAAAATTAAATAAAAAAAAAATACCCAGTTTAAGACAGGGAAACTGAGGCAGAAAACAGATACGAAACATGCCCATGGCTTGGAACCATCTGCAGGCTTCACCCGTGAATGATCACTGGGGGGACATTGACAGTAAGGCCATATAGGAGTCTGGTGGTGGGGAGCCAGCCCATCAGGGTGCATTGCACAGGGACTAAAAGGGGCTCGCGGAGTGCCTGTGTGGCCCTTGACACACGCTCACCCACCAGCCACTCTTCAGCCAAGAGGAAGAAACGGGATGACGGGCTCCGGGAGCACGTGACCGGCTGTGCCCGCAGCGAGGGCTTCTACACCATCGACAAGAAGGACAAGCTTAGATACCTCAACAGCAGCCGGGCCAGCACCGACGAGCCGCCCGCTGACACCCAGGTACCATGTGGGGCGCGGCCAAAGGGGCAGGGACCCAAGGGGTTCACTTGACTGGGTGTTCTAGGCCCTAGTGATGAGAGCAAGAGAGGGGCCAGGGCCTTAGGAATTGAGGCAAGCGTTGACCTTGACCTCTTGGCCATGGAGAGCCACTGAGAGGCTATGGTCAGGGACATGCATGGTTACATTTCAGGAAGGCTCATTCAATACTTTGTGGAAATAATACCTTAATGTGTTTGTTTTCAAAGAAGAGTCACATACCAAATAGAGTTCCTGTTTGACAGTTTCTACGTAAGTTGTTTATTGACAGGAGTTAGGCTTTTAACATTTTCATGAATTATGTTCTAATGGTTATTTTTTTTAAATAATTTTTTTTATTTTAATTGTCATTTTAACAAAAGTTTACAGAAAAGTTAGATTTTCATTCATTGGTTGTTGCATATTTTACCCCCTCTCCCTCCCTTCTCCTTCCCTAAGATGACTTTTTTTTTTTATTTACAAAATTCTAATACAAATTTGAACATATTCTTTCAATTTTCCTCACCCCCTACCCATCAAATTGTACAATCCAATGATTAATCCCCTCTTCCCCCTGTACATCCACATCCCTCTGCTTCCAGCCTCTCCCACCCCTCCTTCTACTCCTATATTTATCCTTGTGGGCCTGACTTAGTTCACTCAGCATAATGCTCTCCAGTCCCTCCCAAGTTAGGTAGTCATTTACAAAGTTGTTGCTCCTGCGTGCTGCATAGTATTCCATTGTATGAATGTACCATAATTTCTCAATCCATTCTTTTATAGTTGGACATTTGGGCTGTTTCCATGTTCTTGCGATGGTGAATAATGCTGCTATGAACATTGGTGTTCAGTTTGTGCCTCAGTTCTCATATTCTCAGGGTATATTCCAAGTATTCTAGTGTGTTGCTATTATTGAGAATATACACAGCAAACCATGTCAGTTGTACAGCTTCATGCCCAGAGTATCACATTCTGAGGACATCCTTGGAGTTGTGCAAGCCTGATCCCGCTGTGGGCATCAGCACAACGCCCCAAGGTCCTTCTCTAATTTTCTGTGCTGATATTGTCACACTGATCCCATGTAGATACATGAAAGCATGCCAGGCTCAAGGCAGACAGTGTTGGGCTTCAGAAGGCTTCAGGGGGTATTTCAGGTTTAAGGTTTAAAGATCTTCCAGGGCAATCCTTTCAAGGGTTCATCCAGATGGCTCCACAAAGTCTGGGTTCCAAGAGAATCTGAAATTCACTCACTCTTTTTTAATTTATCTAGTCTTTCCTGAGCTCCCCCTGTGCACCAGGCCCAGTTCTCGTGGTGCCCGAGTCCACGGGCTGCTTCACAGTCATAGTGCCTGCCCCATAGGCTTCATGGGGCGGGCCATCTCCTCTGTCTCCTGGGGAGTGGCAGGTGGTGGGTTTCCACTGCCAGCTTTCAGTTAGTACTCCAGTGCTTAACCTGCAGCACCACCAGGCCTCCTGCTGTCTGTGATCAAAACTCAGGCCTTGTCCTTATATGCCACTTACATGTTAGCCGGGGACAGGGACAAATCTATTTCCAGAAGAAAATACTATAGAAAACCAAAAAAAAAAATTAAATAGACAGTCAACCCATCTGTTTTCAGTCATGCCTTAGGACATATGCCATATGAGATCAAAAGGGCACCGTCTGCCCAGGGAGAACACTCAGAAGGCAGAATGCTGTGGGGTGGATGTATAGGATGAGTGGAAACTGGAGACACAGGGAGGGAATGGGAAGAGTACGGTTATGGAACAGAAATTGCAGCCAGTGTCATGAAGCATAATATATATGAATTTGCTCTGTAAACTCTTTGAGAGACAAATAAAACCTTTAAAAATAAAATATTTTAAAGGCCAAACATAACAAGAGAGGACTAAGCAAATTGAGAAAGTGATATCCAATGAGTTGCAGGTGACAAGAGGGGGCAGGGACACACAAGGAAAGGCCAAACAGAGTCAGAGCGGGAGGTGGACAGAGGACAGGGCGTCTGCATCCAGGAGGCTCTGGTGGTGAGAATAGGTCGGCAAATAGATGTGTAAGCCCACACTGGCGGCTGTGTAGGCAGCCAGGGTCCAGACGGTCATAGCTGTTCCTGCCAAATATGGGGGTGGTCGGAGCAGGAGCGGGGAAAGTGAGAGATTTAGAATTAATATCCGGCTGGAGAATGGTCTAGGTGTGCAGTGATGAGGAAATTCGGGCAGACAGCTGGGGGATGCTAGGAAGTCATAAAAGGCAGTGTAGGCCCAGTGTGGACTTGGGACCATGCCCTGAACTCACCTCTGAGCACCTTTGTCCTTTCCAAGCCCTGAGAGGGAAGGACGGAGGGTGTGTTTCTTGGGACAACCTGAGTTTCAGGGTTGGTGACCAGGTCAGAAGTCCTGGCAGTTAGAGACAGAGGGATGGAGCTTGGGAGGACTTCATCAGCGTGAAGGTGGTGATTCCAGGGTGGAGGGGCATGGAGGTGGGGAGATGCTGTCCTGGATAATCCACAGATTAGGAGCAGGGTAGAGGGGAAGGAGGCCAGCAGGAGGCTCATGATGAAAGGCTGGAGGGAGAACCCAGGATGGCAAGTCTGAGAGAGACAGGAGCAGGATCCTGGAAGACCCCCACCATATTCTGGCTGAACTGTGGAGGTGCTACCAGAACTTTTAACAGAGGAGTGACACAAAAAGTGGAGAATGATTGCTCTTAAGACAGGAGGAATGTGTGCAGGCACAGAGCAAGCTGAAGTGGGTGCAGATAAAGCCAGAACTAAGGAAACTAGGGGTGCCAGGGACCCTGGGCTTGGAGTGGGGCTACAAGAATGTCAGAGTAGACACTAGGAGCCCAAGATAGACTTGCTCCACCTGCCAGTTCGCCCCCAGCAGCCTTCCAGGCCTCATGTCCACCCCTCTTCCGTGGCAGGGCATGAGCATCCCGGCGCAGCCTCACGCCTCCACTCGGGCAGGCTCAGAACGGCGTTCAGAGCAGCGGCGTCTCCTGTCCTCCTTCACTGGCAGCTGTGACAGTGACCTGCTTAAATTCAACCAGCTCAAGGTGAGGCCGGGCTAGCCCACCCGGGAGAGGCCAGGGTGGCCCTGGGACGCGAGACCAGAGCTCACGTCTCTTTTCCTCCCAGTTCCGGAAGAAGAAGCTCAAATTCTGCAAGAGCCACATCCACGACTGGGGCCTGTTCGCCATGGAGCCCATCGCAGCCGATGAGATGGTCATCGAGTATGTGGGCCAGAACATCCGCCAGGTGGGCCCTCCACAGGGAAAGGAGGTGGTTGGAGTGGAGGGCGGGCAGCCTGAGTGGGTGGGGCCTGATCTGGGCGGGACTTGTGACAGGATGAGAGGGTGGGCCCAGGATCTGGGTGATGCAGCCTGTGTGGGCGGGGCTGGGGACTGAGCAGAACCAGTGACAGGATGAGTGGGTGGGGCAGCCTGAGTGGGCGGGGCCGGGGAACTGAGCAGAACCAGTGACAGGATGAGTGGGCAGGTGGGGCAGCCTGAGTGGGTGGAGCTGGGAACTGAGCAGAACCAGTGACAGGATGAGTGGGCGGGGCTGGGCAACAGCAGAATCAGTGACAGGATGGGGGTGGGGCCAGGATTTGGGCGGGGCAGCCTGAGTGGGTGGAGCTGGGAGCTGAGCAGGACTATTGACAGCATGAGTGGGCGGGGCAGCCGAGTGGGCGGGGCTGGGGAACTGAGCAGGCTCTGTGACGGCATGAGTGGGTGAGGTCAAGATCTGGGCGGGACATGCCCGCAGTGGGCGTGGACTGGGACCTGTGGTAGTGGGTGGGGCCTGTGATGTGGGCGTGGTATCCAAGTGGGCAGGGCTGGGAAGCTGGGTGAGACCTATGATGGTCAGATGAGTGAGTGGGGCAGGTATATGGGCCTGGATATGTGATGGGCAGGGGAAGCTGGTGAGGCTAGGGCAGCGTGGGGGCAGACTCTAAGTGGGTGGAGGCAGGACCGAGGCAGGAGCAGGACGGGTCCAGTGTACTGTGGCGGCGCCTGGTGATTTCACAGGTCGGGTGAGCTGGGAGCAACCAGCCTAATGACTGTCCACTGACAGGTGATCGCCGATATGAGGGAGAAGCGCTATGAGGACGAGGGCATTGGTAGCAGCTATATGTTCCGGGTGGACCATGACACCATCATTGATGCCACCAAGTGTGGCAACTTTGCCCGCTTCATTAATCACAGCTGCAACGTGAGTGACCCCATCATTAGGCTTTGTGATGCATGGAGCCGCCTCTGCCATTAGCTTCAGTTTGCTCATCTGTAAAATCGGTCTGTTGAGATGCTTGCTGCAGAGGCAAGGACTTAAAGGTGTTCTGGTGGCCGTGTGGCTAAAATATTTGTCTGAGATCCTGAAAGTGGGGGGTTCGGGCTCACCAGCCACTCCATGGAGTTGCCTGCCGTCTGCTTCTGTAGAGATCACAGCCTTGGAAATGTGGTGGGCAGCTCCACTCTATTCTGCGGGGTCACTGTGAGTCAGGGTGAGTCAGGATCAGATGGACAGCAGTGGGTTCATCTGGGGCAGGCAGATGAGGAAACCGAGTCCTAGGGTGGTGATGTGGGCCTGGGCTCACCCTGCCCATTCCACACCGGTCAGCATTGGGGCAGGGGCTGGGTCAATGACTCACGTGTCCCTTGCCCGCCCACAGCCCAACTGCTATGCCAAGGTGATCACAGTGGAGTCGCAGAAGAAGATTGTCATCTACTCGAAGCAGCACATCAGCGTCAACGAGGAGATCACCTACGACTACAAGTTCCCCATTGAGGATGTCAAAATCCCCTGCCTCTGCGGCTCCGAAAACTGCCGAGGGACCCTCAACTAAGGCCCTGGCCGGTGCCAAACACGAAGGATGTCCGCCCTCCCTGGACCCCAAGCGGGACCCCCGGGCCCAGCCTACCGCCCGCCCCATTTCAGGTGCTGTCCCCCCTCAGCGGCCGTGCCAGGGCCCGGCACCCCCAACACTACCCCAGGACCCCCGCAGCTCCTGCCCCCTGCAGCGGGAAAGGGCTTCTCTGTCTGTCCCTCCATCCGTCCGTCCATGTGTCTGTCATGTGGCTCTCATTTTCAGACATGTCCTTGCAGGGCGTGTCTGAGCATCAGTGCGGCTCCTCTCTGGCCCTGTCCCCGTCCTTATCCTCAACCCCTTCCCGTGAATGCTGCTACGTCGTGTTGTCTTCTCTTTATTTTCTCCCTCATCATAAGAAAAGACATTTAACCGTTGAAATGTGAAGGCAGAATCAAAGAGAGGGGGATCCCTGGCAGGGCAGCTGGGCCAGGTGCTGAGAATGGGGGACAAAAGGGGTCAAGGGATCGGGAGGCAGCTTTGACCTCAGAACACTACGTGCCTGAAAGGCCCCCCTCGGCCCCAGAATCAGTGAGGGGTGGACCCTACTCCTCCTTCCCTGGACCCCTTCCATGGCCTGTTCCTTCCCCAGCAGCCTGGGGCCACCACTTCCCTAAGTCAACCCTGGGTGGCCAAGCTGGTCCCAGGCAGGAATGGCCGTTTGGGGTTGTCCCTGCCACCATACTCCCCACCATCCCCAAAACCTTGGGTTCAATGTTTACTTTATCATTCGAATGCCAGCAATGACAGGCTCCCCCCACCCCCGACCCTAGCAGGGGTGGGGGAGCTGGGTCTCTGCCCCCTGCTGCCCTTGGCTTCACCTGGACACAAGGAGGGCCTCCCAGGGCTGGTGGATCCCCCAGCCCCGCCAATACGGGTTGTCTGACCACATGTGGGGCATTTTTGTTTTTATAAGCTTCAGTCACCCACCTCCTTCCCCACTCGGCTACCCCCTGCCAGCAGTCCCTCACCCCAAGAAGGCCAGCGTGTTAGTTCTTTTCCAAGCACACAGGTGACTTCTCCCAGAGAAAGGAAAAATCTGGAAGAGAATTGAAAACTTAGAACCTGTTTTCCTTTTTGTCACCCCCCAGCCCTTCTTCCCTTCCCACCCCCCCTTGTCATCATCTTCAGGGTTCATTAATGTGGATTTTTTTTTTCCTTTCCGTGCGTGTACAAAATCAAAAACAAAGAGGGAAGGAAAAAAAATACCCAACAAAGTAGGGGTTTTGAAGTTCGGAACCAACTTTCCGTGTACAGGCTACACCAAGGACTCTTTCTCGGGAACATTGTTTCTTGTGGAAACATGTGGAAAACCTCCTTTGCTCCTTTCATCACATGTACCCCGTCCCCCCAGCCCCCAAGACGACACACAGGCAAGTCCCCCCACCCCAGCGAGCAGGGTCCCCCCAGCCCCGGCGAGCAGGGCCCCCGTGTCCACAGGGGGAGAAGGGACCTCCGCTGGCCTCGCCCTGCGGAGGAGCGGGCTCCACGGTGCCGCGCGGAGCATGCCGGGAGCATGCCGGCCGGGGGGGACCCATGGCTCCACGCAGAGCATGCCGGGAGCATGCCGGGCACGAGCTCCATGGCACCGCCCGGGGCATGCCGGGAGCGTGCTTGCCGGGAGCGTGCTTGCCGGGGTCCCTATGGCTCCGCGCGGAGCATGCCGGGCACGAGCTCCATGGCGCCGCGCAGAGCACGCCGGGCGCAGCATGGCGCCCAGCCCCGGAGCGTGCCGGGCGCCCAGCCCGGATCTCGGCTTGTGTCAAGCTTGTTATCATGTAAATTCTGTACAAAGAATTGTTCTCTTTCTCTCTTTTTTTTTTTTTATTTTTATTTTGACGGTGTTCACTTTTGGCTTTTATATCATTTCTTCAACCCCCATCCCCGGTCTCTGCGCCTGAGGCCTCACCGCCCGCGCCCGGGTGAGCAAGGCCGGCGGCCGGGGACGCAGAGCGGGCCGCGGCCACGGTCCCTTCCGCGAGTTGTGCAACCGAGGAAATATTTATTTTTCACATTAGGAAATAACGGAGTTTGCGGAGACGGCGGATCTAAGTTATTTTGTGCTGCCCCCAAGGGGCTGATTCATTTCTGTCACCTCCACCACCATCCCCCCCAAAAAAAAATTATTTTTTTTAAGTTTAAAAAGATAGAAAAGGGGGAGGGAAGGATGTGAGGAAACCAGGGGCCTCACTTTGCCCAACCTTGGCTCTTGGCTAACGTTGACCAGACTTTCCAAAGGGTGAGTGCGGGGAGGCCCCGCCTTGTCCCACCCACCTCCCCCGAAATGGTTTGCAATAATTCAGAAATGTATTGCCTTCCCCCCCTTTAAATATCTTTGTTTTTATTGAACAAATTTGTGTTTTTGAAGAGTTGAGGTTTCTGCTTTACCCCCCCATCTTTAATTTTTTTTTGTCTTGCGTCTCCTTCCCCCACCCTCCCAGCAAAGAAGAAAAACGATGAGTTTTAGGGAAATTTGTGCATCGAGACTCTGTCATCTGTATGTAACTTGTTTTGCAGAGAAGTGTTTCTGTTGTGGGTGTGTCTTGCTGTAAATATTTGTTCATATTTTTGTGAATTCAATACTATGTACCATTGTATTATAGTAACTTTTATAAAGCAAACCATAAATATACTGACTTTTCTTACAGACACGCCGTCTCTCTTACTCTCCACTCTCATTTTTCCTCTGCTGGGGGATACTCTTGCATGAAGGGAGAGGAGAAGGCTATTATTGGTCCACTTAGACCAGTAGAACTTAAAAACTCTGTGCCTGTCGTTCGGACATGCCAGGTTTTTGACGTTTTCCTGAGAGGATGTCCTTAAAATCGTCAGTGCCTAAATGCTGCTCATGATCTGCAGTGGAAAAAATAAGACCCAGGGGCTTTGGGGTCACAGCAACTCAGGCAAGGCTGTGTACAGGACACACACTGCCTGTACAATGACTATTCCTGGAAGTACTTAGAAAGTCAGTGGCTCAAAAATGTGCAGCGTTTACAGACAAATTTCATTTCTCTGAATTTGGGAAGGGCTTCTGAAATAGGAGCTATTTAAATTAATTACACCTTGCAGGCAGATTTAATTTTTTTCTTTTTTAACAAACTGGTTGTAGCACCAGCATATTGAGCAAGTCTCCCAGTGCTGTTCTTCCAACAGTGAGCACTCGATATGTCAAGACACTTGGACACGACCACTATTTCAAACGTTTTCACAATGCTATTATTACACATGAGATACATTTCCCAAATAAAAACCCACTACCATGAAGTCGATTCAAGCTCAGGATGACCCTCTGTCTGATTTCCAAGATTTTTAAATCTTTATGAAAGTAGACTGCCTCACCTCTCCCCAGAGGGGCGATTGGTGGATTTGAACCACTGACTTCAGTTAGCAGCTCAACGTATGATATGCCACCAAGAAACAGAAATTTTGTGGCTGGTTTTATGGAAGTTTTTGTTTTGTTTTACTGTGGGGGTCTGGAACCTACAATATACTGGGGCTGAGCCTGCTGAGAATGAAATGTTACCCAGCATTTAATGTTTTTAAAGTGGGGGGCCTCGACCGATCTCAGCACTGCATGATGAGCTGCCAAGTGACCAAGGGCCCCAGAATGTCCACTTTATCCCCAAGAAGGACATTAAAAAACCTGTACAGAAAGTAACCCAGAGTAAAAGATACCAGACCTCAAGTTTTCACTAAAGAAGCATAAATGATGTCACTATGATTTCTCCTGGTCATGTTGACCCCAGTACTCCATCTCCTCCCCAGCACTAAGGCTCATTGTTCTTCCTCAGATCCATCCCCCTCCCCTCTCTGGTTCACTCACTCTCATGGGGGGGACCCTTCTTGATAGCTTTTTTTCTCCCCATAGGGGAGCCCCCATTTAAGGCCTGTGTGTCCTGAGCAGACTTGATGAGGAGTGGTGTTCCAGGCACTGAGCTGACTTAGGCAAGAGCCCTTCGCCCAAGCCTCCAAAAGGAATAGAAGTAAACATCTATGTAGCATGGAGTCTGTGCGAGCTGTGTTCAGACATCTTTGATAGTAACTCACAGTGGTGGTAGGAAGTAGGTATTGCCCCTATTTTACAGATGAGCAAGCCCAGGCACTGAGGTCCTGTGAACCCAGGCAGTCTGGCCCTGAGATCTGCTCAGCTGTGGGGATTCTGTTCTGACCATGGCTCCAGTCAGATGCCCACACCTCAGCACAAAGACTGATTGCTGCTGTGTAGAAAGTTGGGCTCAGAATTCCAGATTGTTCCCAAGCGAACGAGACAGAGTTTGGACACAGAATAGGCCTGCCCTTGCTTCTCTGAAGTCCTGGTGGTGTATGGCATTACATGTTGGGATGCTGCCCAAAAGGTTCTAATCCACAAAGATTACAGCTGTGGAAACCAGATGGGGTTAGCGAATTCTACTGTTCTATAGAGTTCCTATTAGTCAAATCAGCTCAATGACACATAACGAGAATAGGGGTCTCGCAGGCATCTTGGCAAGCACAGTGGTCAAGCGTCAGTCTGTGAGCCAGGTGTGGAATGGTTAAAGCACTCACCATTAAGGGAATAATGTAAAGATTGGTGGTTCTGATACAGCTGCCACTCCTCAGGAGAAAGATAATTCCTTCCTCAAAGCCTCACAAGCCTGAAAGCCCTGTGGGCAGTTCTCCACTGACCTATAGGCTCACTGCTTGTTTTATGTACCCTCTAGTCTGGATGACTTAGCTCAGCCCCCAGGGGGTTTTCAGAAGCAGTAAATAACATGGGAGGAGATGACTCATTTTTTTTTCTTCCCCCTCTGCATGGCTGGATTGAAACCACCTGTCTTTGGGTTGGCAGTGCAACTTCTTACCCACAGGGTCTCTGTGTGTCCAGATTTGCTCAACTGTAGCAGGTTTAGTTGGGATTGCTCTTCTAAGTCCTCTCTTGTTCTTTTAATTTCTGAAATTTCTTAACCCCTAAAGTTCTGACTCCTGTGACCTAAAAAAATTCTCTACTCCCACCAGGCCAGATCAGATTTTGGTTCTCACCCTAATGCCTGCTAGTTTCTAGTTCAGACCTAACTTATCCTCAAGAAAGGAGAGAAACAGGGAAGACGCCCAGTTTGCCTCTGTCTTTTCTTCTTTAGTTCTGATGGACAAATTTCCTCCCAGTGGATTTTAAACCTCCTACAATGTCAGTCTGGAGACTAATAGCTGCGCCTGATCCAGGCCATAGTCTTCATAATTGCTTGCTATGCATCAGAGAGCTGGACAGTGACTAGGGATAATAGAAAGAGAATTGATGCCTGTGGTGCTGGGGAAGAGTGTTGAATATACCATGGACAGCCAGGAGACCAAGCAGTTTCATTTTAGAGAGGGCAAAACCAGGCCATTCCTTGAAGGCAAGGATTCTGAGGCTTGGTCTGACATACTTTGGGCATGTTGTAAGGAGGGAGCAGTTCTTGGAGAGGAACATCATGCTTGGAAGGGTGGAGGGACAGAAAGAGAGGGAGACCCTGAAGAAATGGACAGACTCAGTAACTGGGGTAATGAGGGTAGGTGTGTCAGAGACAGTCAAGTTGGCACAGGATAGAGCAGTTTGCAGGGCTACTGTACATAGGGTCACTATGAGTTGCAAGAGACTCAACTGGCACATAACAATAATTGCCTTGTTGTTTAGTCATTGACACTTGAGTATGAATTAATGTGCTAGGGGTGCTCCATGCAAGCAAGGCTGATGGGAGTGAAACTGCATTGGAATGAGGCATTCATGACTGACCTGGCAAAGGTGGAGGGCTGAAGTCAAGGGGCTCAGATCTCCTGTGGACTCTGTCTCTCAGACTGGAAACCATGCTCTCGTGACCCTCTTGTCTAACACTAGGGTTCTGGGGGGCAGAATTTGGGGCAGGCCGTCTTTAGATACATACAGCCATTATTTGAGATCTGGCTCGGGGACCTTTTAACTTGCTCATGTCCCCTCTCCCAGATCTCTTTATTTTAAATTTTTTTTTAATTATTACTTCTTGTGTGTGTACTGCCAAATCAGGTCTGACTAGTACAGGAGGAGATTGCCTCTCCTTCGGCAGTAGAGCATCCGGCGGATTCGAACCGCGTACCTCTGGGATTGCGGTGCAACTTCTTGACACTGGGCCACCAGAGCACCCCTTTTCCCCCAGATCTCTCCCTAGAGTTGCCCACAGCTGGCTCCCAAACGTCCTTTCCTCGCAGAGGAGCCTCTGTTTAGTTGAAAGGAGCCCCATGGCCACCTTCCCCTGCGGTCACACCATCATCACATCACCCTGCTTTATTGCATTTGTCATCAAAAGCAGTTTTCACGCTTTAGCAAAAAAAAATAGCTTTCGGGCCGCGTCGTCCCAGCACTCCCCCTGGTGGCGAAAGGGCATCACTGCCTCGTTGCGCCGCAGCCAGCCTGGTGGGCGGTGCCTCCCGTCCAGGGGGTGTGGCCACAAGGTGGTCGGAGCCTGCGTATGGAGGAGCCGCCTGTGGGGCGGGGCCTAAAGGTCAGGGCTCGTGGGTGGGCGTGTTCGGGGGGGGGGTGCCTGGACTGCAGCAGTATCCACGTGCCCGGTCAGACCCCGTTTATCTCCAGGTCGGTGAGGTTTCCGCGCAGGTTCTGCTCCTCCTCGAAAGCCTTGAACAGCGAGTTGAAGTTGCCAGCCCCGAAGCCCTTGGAGCGGGAGAGTGGACGTGAGCGAGCTGTGCACTGGCCGGGCTGCGCGTGCCCCCTGCCTAGCCCTCGGGAAGGGGGGTCTCGGACCGATACCTGGTGGTTGTTGCGCTGGATGACCTCCAGGAACAGCGTGGGCCGGTCCTGCACGGGCTTGGTGAAGATCTGCAGCAGGTAGCCCTTCTCGTCGTAGTCCACCAAGATTCTCAGCTCCTAGGTGGGAGGCAGGGTGGAGGCTTAGGGTGGCTGGCCGGCCGGCAGGCTGGCATGACTGCATGCTTGGACAGGCGCCCCTAAACCAATTTCTGTTGATTCTCCCTGCCTCTGATTGTTTGTACTGCCTATGTGGACTTCTTTGACAGCCTTTCAAAGCTTGATAAAAAAAAAAAAAACCTCTTTGCTCAAGCACCTCCAGACACCTCCAAATGTGTCCCCAGATTGTCCTCTCTCTTCCCACCCCATTTCCATGCACCCTGCTGGACCACCTCAGTTCTTCCTCACATACTACTCCTGTTCCTCACCTCCCTCCAGTTCTTCGTAACCATGGCAGGCAGAGAAATGTTTAAATGCAGATCCTGTCACTCCGCTGGTTAAAGCTTTCCAGTGGAAATGGAAACCCACGTTTTGTTCTGGATACTGTTGCTGGTCTGTGCCTTCCATATGGAGCTGATTCATTGCTCACTCACCCCCTAGTGGCTGTTCAGAGCTGTAAGCCACGTGGGAGGAAATTGCCCATCCTTCCCTCAGAGCAGCTGCTGGATTCTAACTGTGCTTCTTTGGGTTGGCAGTGCACCTCCTTACCCTTAAGCCACCAGAGCTCCTGCTACTTCCATACAATGGAATATTATTTGACCGTAAAAAGAATGACATCCCAACACACATGACAACATGAAGGGCCTTAAAAGTATGATGGTTCTAAAGCTCTGGAGGCCTAGTGGCAAGAAGCTGTACTGCATTTCCAGAGGTGTACAGTTCAAATCCTCCAGATGCTCTCTCTGCTGGAGAAGGGACAATCTCCTCCTGTATCAGTCAGATCTGATTTGACACACAAAATAAGTTTTTAAAAAAAGCATGATGGTTTGTGAAAGACGTTAGACACAAGAGACAAGGTGTTGAATGGCTCCATTTCTATGAAATGTCCAGAAAAGGTAATAGATAAGTGGTTGTTACAGAGGCCTGGTGTGAGGGAGTTAGGTGTGACTTTTCTTTTTGGGGTGATAACAGTGTTCTAACATGGATGTGATAAGTGTATTTATGTCTGTTGTTACTGTGAGAAAAACAGGATGGAAAAGAAAGAATTATGGCAAGGAACACACAACTTTACACAGAAGGTCCATTGAATGATTCACTTTAACAGAGTCAATTGTCTGGTGGCCTAGTGGCAAGAAGCTGCACTGTAATTCCAGAGGTGTGTGGTTCAAATCTACCAGATGCTGTGCTGGAGAAGGAGGGGCAATTTCCTCCTGTACCAGTTGGATCTGATATGACGGTATACATTCAAAAATTAATAAAAAAATTTTTAAAAAGTCAGTTGTCTGGTATGTGCATTATAGCTCAAGAAAAATCTTAAAAGCAAGTAAACAAAAGCTCCATTAATACTCAATGGCTTTTGAGCAAAGAGGAACAGAATTCAAACTCTTAGATAATCTCCAAAAAGCAGTGGCCCTTAAACCGTCAGCTGTAGGGAGTAAAAATGGCCACATTTGCCCAGGGATAAAATTCAGAAGGCAGAAGGCAGGAAAGAAGGATGAGTGTCAATGGGACAGATAGGAATGAAGTGGGAAGAGAGCTGTTAGATTGTCGTGATTGCAAACTGTCACAAACAAAGCTGTATGTGACCTCTTGAGTGGAAAACCCGTTTGCCTTGTAAACTTTCATACAAACCTTTTTTTAAAAAAACAAAACAAAACAGAAGTAATGATCCCTGCCTACCTCTGTGACAGGGACGCCTCAAACACTGCACTTCATCCAGTCTTCACATTTTCTGTCCCTGGAACACTGAGAACCTCTTCCTGCCTCTGGACCTTTGCACCGGCTGGTGCCACGAACCGCCTCCCCTCAGCCCTCTGTACACCCCTGGCTCCTCACTGTTTAGATTTCCACGGAAGTCACCGCCTCATGAAGCCTTCCTGCCCTCAGGATCCCCTATCACATCCTGTTTTAAATTCTACTTATATATAAATCGTCTCAGACTCAAGACATCCATATCTGAGTTTAAAAGCCCTGTGTTTACAGTTGTCTTTATAAGGACTGCATTTCTTTGCAACCCCAGTGGTATCATGGTTGACACTGCGGACCACAAGGTCAGAGGTTCTAATTCATGACACACTCTACAGGAGAACGTAAGGCTGGCTGCTCCTGATTAGGTCACAGCCCGGGAAAGGGGACACTGTGGGCAGGTCTCCGTCCTGTGCGGTCTCTGAGGAGTTGGTGTTTTAGAATCCCTGGTGTTGAGCTCTGGTGGCCTGGTGGCAAGGAGCTGCAACTACAATCCCAGAGGCGCGCGGTTCGAATCCACCAGATGCTCTGCCGGGGAAGGAGGGACAATCTCCTCCTGTACCAGTCAGATCTGATTTGACGGTACACTCACACAAAAATAATAATAATAAAAAAATAGAATCCCTGGTGTTGCAGTGCTTAAGCTCTTGGCTAGTAACCGACATGTTGGCGGTTTGAAACCACCAGCCGCTCTGAAGAAAGATGTGCTGGTCACTTCTATAAGGATTTCAGCCTTGGAAAGAAACCTTGGGGAGCAGTTGTGCTGAGTCCTGCGGATTAAAACCCCTCTCTATAAGGGAGCTCTGGGGGCCTGGGGGTAAGGAGAAAGGTGGGTAGTCTCCATGCTCTCTACAGACTCTGAAAGCACGCTGGAAGATCAGTTACGAGGAGCCAGTTCCCACCCCTAGCTAGGAGAGAGAAAGGGAACTTCATGGGGAGCGTTCTTTCCAAAGACAAAGGCGGGAGAGTTAACAGTATCGACAATAAAAGGCAAGAAATATGAACAATAATAAAAAACAGAGAGCTGTTGGTTTACCTTGGCCTTTTTCTTTCTTTGTTTAAGGGAGAACGGGAACATAGGCCCCCACTACTGCAGATTATGCTGTCCCATCTCCCGTGTTTAGGAGAGTTGCAGGGCTCAGCACATCCGGAGCGCAGTGGACAAGCCTCACCCCGGGAAAACCACCTTCGTGGACCTCCCTGCCCGGTAAGTGGAGAACCGACTTTGGAGGGAGCCTTCAGAACAGAAGCTTATTGTGAATAGAGGACCAGCTGTGTTCCCGTGTCGGCTGCTCCCTCTCCTGACCTGGGACACAGCGGTCTTGCCTGGTGTCCCTGAAGCAGGGGTATCTGGGCCTTGCTGTCCCCACTGACCCCCCCGTGGGGTGCTGGCAGCTCACCTCCAGGACATCAATACTCTCCTTTACTTGGATCTTGGCCGACTTGAGCCTCTCCCGCAGCTGCTTGTAGTATGTGGAAGGGACAGACAGGAACTCCATGCCTCTGTCTCTCAGGTGGCGGATCTGTCCCAGAGCAGGTTAGCGTCAGCCTCCTTCTCCACCCCGCCTCACTGCTGGCCCTACGGCCGGGTCAGGAGTAGGCAGGGGCCAGGCCCTCCCTGGGCCCCCTGTCACAGGGTACTCAGAGGGAGCCCAGCTTTATCCCCTCCCCTCCCTGGGCCTCATGGGTCCTGTTGGGGAAGTGGTTGCCTTTACAGGATGTTTCCTGGGGTCCCAGGCACTTTCTACGTGTATTTTCGTTCTGGTCATGTGGTAATCTTGTCGATTGTGGACGCTTAGGAAGGAGCCCTGGGGTGCGGTGGCCAAAGCTTTTGACTGCTTCCCAAAAAGGGAGCCACTCCTGGGGCCAAAGGTGAGGCCGTCTCCTGCCAGGAAGGTCACAGCCTGGGACACCTTCTGGGCGTGTTCTACTCTGCCCCACATAGTCATTGAGTGGGAGTTGACTAGCGGGAAGGTGATTGACTTTTTTAATAACTGCCACTATTCCCATTTTATAGTTGGAAAAACCGAGGCATTGACTATCCATTCTCAGCTCACCAGCCTGATCTTATGAAAAGATGTATCAGGTCAGGCCAGGCCTGTGTGTACCCCACAGGGGAGTTCTTGCTCCCAGGTCCACCCAGGGCCTTTGCCACCTGGCCTGTCCTCACCTTGTCCACCACCCCAGCTCCTTGCTCACACTGCACCCCTTGTTGGACTTCCTGGCCCTGCCCCATGTCTGGGCTTAGCCCCTGACTCTGCTGCCCAGACCCGGCAGCCTGGGATGCAATTCCCCACCCCCCACCCCCGAATTCTCCCACTTCCACCCTCGGCATCTGCAGCTGTCTTCTTCTCAGCGCAGCCTTTCCAGGGCAGCCTGTTTAAATCTCCAGAGCTCTGTGCCATCACGTCGATTCTGACTGAGAGTCACCAGGATCAGAGTGGAACTGCCCCATATGTTTCCTAGGCTTGTCCTCTTTATGGGCGGGAGTTGTGGTGGCTTGGTGGTAAGGAGTCGTGCTGCCAACCCAAAGGCACACAGTTCAAATCCACCAGCTTCTCCCAGAGAGAAAGATGCGCGTCTCCTTCCTTGTGATTGACAGCCTTTGAAAACCCGCTGGAGGGTCATCTGTGAGCCACTCTGACTTGGGGTGCACAACAACACCATTTATGGGAGCAGGCTGCCTGATCTCTCTCCCTTGGGACCTCTGGGTGGTGTGGACCCCTGACCTCTCATTTAATCATCACACCCCCAGACGACTCTGCAGGGACCTCCTCAGTTGTCCTATTTCTCTGCTTTATCTTTTGCCTTCTGCTGCTGCCTAATACTGCGTATAGTCCCCTGACTGTGTTAGCTCCATACGGGTAGAAAAAGGAGCCCTGTGAACGGAGAGGGTGGCGATTCGAACCCATGAGCCCCTTCCACAAGAGAAAGAGGAGGCAGGCCGGCTTCTGTAAATATTTACAGCCCAGGGGACCCTGTGGGGCAGCTCTTCTCTGTCCTCTAGGGTCACCGTGAGTCAGAATCGACTCAACAGTGGTCAGCTTTGGCTTTGGCCTCCCCAGGGGCCTGGCATCCTTCTGGCTGCAAAGATAATAGTTTGGCAGTGATTCCGGGTGAGAGCACTGACGCTCAGAGGGTGAGCTGAATCCCTGAGACACACAGCAAGTCTCAGGCAGAACCAGAGCTGGGGTCCAGGCTGGCTGGCCGGCTCTGCCTGGCTCTGCTCCCTGTGAAGGCCAGAGGGTGGTGTGGGGCTGGGGCCTCTGGGGCGAGGTGAGAGGTCGGGTGGAGGCTGCCTGTGGAGGAGCTTCCTGGGACAGGGAGATGAGGACCAGGAGGGGGTTTCTAACCGACGTGATGATGTCTTCAGTCTTGAGAGCGATGTGCTGGACCCCAGCGCCCCCGTTATAATCCACGAATTCCTAAGGTGGGAAACAAGGACCCCCGTCATTGACCCCATCACCCATGCCCCAGTGTGGGGTCCCCTCGTCTCCCTGCTCTCTGGCCCTCCAGGGTCACTCAGCACCCATCCTCTCCCCGGTCTCGCCACCAGGCCATCCCACCTGGATCTGAGACTTCTTCTTGCCCGGAGCCGGCTCGTTGATGGGCATCTTGATGGACTCCTCGTAATTGGCCACCACGATGGAGCGCAGCGAGCTGTACTCCGTGTGCACCTGCGTGTCGTCCACGGACCAGAACCGGTGGAACTGGAGGTTCTTCAGGTACCTGCCCCGGGCGACGAGGGCACACTCACACGCTGGCTCTGAGTGCCAGCCCCGCCCCACATCCCTGCGCCTGCTTCCACCTTCCAGAATTCACCCCCTGGGAGCAGACAGGACGTCCTGTCACAGACACTCGATTCGATCCTTTATTCTGACAGTTTTCCTTCAGCAAAAAGCACAGTTCTCTGGCAGAGACAGGGCGGTTCCTTGGCAAAGGGGTGCGTGTTTTGGCTTTGGATGAGGGCACTGTTGGGGGTGACTGTCTCCTTCCACCCCACCCCTGTGGGCTAGGACACCCCTGCCATGCCTCCCCACTGTCCACTGAGCAGGACCTATCCGTGACTTTGGGGCTATATGTAGTCCTTTGGGAGCCGAGCCCCAGACCATGACCTCTGTGTCCCACCATGGGTTCCCAGACCGGGTCTGTGGGCAGAGCCGGGCCAGGCGCTCACCATTCCGTGGCAGACAGCATTTCCTGGTCCGGCTGGTTTCCCACCACGTGGTCGATGACCTGCAGGTTGCAGCTGGGCCTGGAGGCAGGAGGGAAAATTATTCCCTGTGGTGTCCACTTTCTGTGACACCCCAGTTAAGAATGCTAACTCCCACCTACAGGGTGCTTGCTACAGAGCGGGCGCTTGACACGCTTACGCTCACTGATCCGTGCCATGATTTACAGCGCCCGCAGGTATGGAGAGGCGGGCAGTAAGTGATTCGCCAGAGGTGAAATGTCACTGAAGAGACGGGGCTGGGATTAGAACCCACACCGTCTGGTTCCACAGTCTACACTCTTAGCCTTCAGGGCTTCACTCCAGGGCGCTCCTGGCACTTTTGGGGTTCCTGAGCAGGCTCCCAGGTGACAGACGATGCAGCTTCCTGCCACCCGAAGGTACTCACAGTTTGGCAAGTAGGGGGTCCTTGAACAGCGGTGCCTCGAATCCTGGCAGGAAGAGGCCACTGTAATTGATCTTTTCCACCAGGGTGTGTGTGGTGTCCCCGTACTGTGGGTGAGACACGGGATCTTACTCCCATCTCCCGGGAGCATCACCGCCCTGGGCTCCATCAGGACTGACCAGGCAAGGCCCTTCCCCTCTCTGAAATGATCTGCAGTTTCTCATGGGTTTGAGGGTTTCACGGACAACGTCTCCCACATCCCCACACCAGAGGCTTGTGGTCGACCCCGTGCCCCTAGCACTCCCTGTCACACTGTCGGTGCTCAGTAAAGATGCGTTGACTGAGAAGAGAGAGTGAACGAGGGTGTCCGGTCAAAGGCCACCGCTGGGCTCTCCCAGCCCTTTAGGGGACTTCTCTTCAGGAGGTGGATCCAGGTGTTGTTTCTTTAGTACAATAATAAACCAAATCAGACCCCTGCATTCTGGTCGGTTCTGACTCATGAGGACTCTGTCCAGCAGGCTGGAGTGGCCGCTGGAAGCTGGCGGCCACAGCTTTCTCCCAGAGAACTACTGACCGCGTTCAGACTGCACCGTTGGGGCCTCTGAGTACAGCCGTTGTTGTTGTTTAGGTGCCCGTGAGTCGGTGCTAACAAGAAGGGAGGCTGTCTGCCCTGCACTGGGGGCTGTGCAGAGGCCTCTTGCGGCAGAGTGGTAAGGAATTGCACCACCAGTGCAGAGGTACGTGGTTCAAGTCCGACCCCACGGCGCTTAACAACAACACGGTGCTGTGCCCATTTGATCTCACAGCTGCCCCTCGAGGGGTCAGCGATGAAGAAACGGGGGCACAGAAGGGCACAGAAGGGCCACACGGGTGTTTTGTCTGGAGCCCTTGGCCTTGAAGCAGAACCCTGGGATGCACAGCCGGTGAGGGGTGTGGTCTCCCCAGTGCTACCCAGAGCTTACCCACCCCATGACTCCCACCGGGAGGAAGGAGAGATGAGGTGGAGCCTGTGGTCCCCCTGAGCCTCCGCCCGCAGCCAGGCATTGTGGGGGGGTTCTCCAGGGGGACGTTTGAGTGTTGGGGCACCAGGCTGAGATGATGGAATAGAGTTAAGTGGGGTGTCAGGGATCCCAGCAGCTCAGAGGCTGCTGACGGCAGGAGTGGGCAGCGATGTCCACTCACCGTCTGCAGCACAGCAAACTTGACCTTCCCGTGCTTGTCCTGCTCCACCCACGGCTCCCGCACGATCTTGGCGCCCCGTTCTCGGGCTTTCTGGGGAGGACAACAGGGTGGGGGTGGCCGTGAGGGCCGGCCAGACGCTCTGAACCCTTGTCTGTCCTGTCTGCTTCCCTTCTGCATGGGCCGCTGGACACCTCTCCGTTCTCCCAGCCCAGGTGGGGGTCTGCTCCCTAGAGATCGAGGCCTTGGAAGCCTTAGGGGTCATCCTGCTCTGAGGGTCTCTGTGCACCTGAACGCACCGATGGCAGCGGGCTGGGAGGGGTTCCTCCTTGTTAGAACCCAGTGAGGTCTGAGTTACCCCCAGAGGCAGGTGCCACACAGAGGCTCAGGGAGGCCCACATTGAGGGCTCAGGTGTGAGTGACAACAGCATGTGGGATCCTTTCCCCGCCACCAGGGGCTGGTAGCTTGTCCCTCAGTAGGGCCCCATTAGTGCCTCCAAGGGCCACCCAGCCCTTCCACCTGCCTCCAGGCTCAGGGGCTCACCTGCACGATGTAGTCACAGTCTTCTACCTCGAAGGCGATGTCCTTGACGCTGTCACCGTGTTTCACCAGGTGATCACCCATCTCTGTGGCCAGAAAAGGGGGCACACTGGAGTCCACTCCCCTCACCTGTACACTGGGGTCCATGCACCTCACCTGTGCACTGGTGTTTGTGCCCCCTCACGTGTGCACTGGGGTCCACTCCCCTAACCTGTGCACTGGGTCTGTGCCCCCTCACCTGTGCAGTGGGGTCCACTCCTCTAACCTGTGCACGGGGTCTGTGTCCCCTCACCTCTCCTCTCCTCTGCTGCTGTGTGCAGTGGGGCCCACTCCCCTAACCTGTGCACTGGTCTGTGCCCCCTCACCTGTACAGTGGGGCCCACTTCCCTAACCTGTGCACTGGGTCTGTGCCCCCTCACCTGTGCTCTCAGTGTTGAGGCCCCATCTCCCTCTAGGCTTGACAGTCCCCCTAAAGCCCCCTAACACCAGTCCCTGGGTCGCTGCCCCCACCCACAGCACCACGTCCCCTCCCCCAGGCCCCTCACCTCTGTTCCCCGGGTTGAGGGCCGAGGAGAGGACAAACACGATCTGAGATGTGGAGGAGAAGGGAGTAGAGCTGGTCACCTGGCTGACCCTGGGGAGCTGTGCTCACATGCTCACATCCCCTCTCGGCCTACCCCGAGACACCCTTAAAAAACCCACCACCAAAAGTCACTTCTGATCACAGCCACCCCACAGGGCAGAGAGGAACCACCTCAGAGGGGTTCCAGGGCTGGTACTGTCTGGCTTTCAAAGAGTGACTAGTGGGGTTGGAGTGCTGACCAGTGCTTTAATCCACTACACCATTAGGACTCCCAGACAGTCCTGCCGGGGCCTCACCACTCAGGGCCCCTTGGACGTGGATTCTAGCCCCGCTTCTGCCATAGACTCTCCCCGCTGGCCTGGGCAGGGTTCTTTCTCCTCTGCCAGTCACACCCTTGCATCCCGTCTCCTGCTGGGCCAGGGTCTCCCAGGAGGAGAACTCTGGGGTGTCACGGACCAAAGTCCTACTCAGACTTCTGGTTCTGATGTCCCCAGCTCCTGCCAAGTCTCCCCAGGTGTGTGTGTGGGAAAGACCCCGAGATGGGGCAGAACCGATGGGGTCCTCTGGGGTGCGAGTGGATCGTGGCCAGATTTGACTCCTACGGGAGGATTCTGAACCCAGGGCCTCCCAGACACAGGAGAGAGGCCCGGCCTCCCAGACTCTCCTCACAGACCTCTGGGGAGGGGTCCAGTCCTGGGGTGGGACTCACCTTCCCATGCTTGACCACGTGACTGACCACGTCCCGGGAGCCTGTCTCCAGGCCCTTGTAGGCCAGAGGCTCGAAGCCCATCTTGTTGCAGTAGAAGGACGCAGCCTGGATTGGAGCGGCAGTTGAGTTAGGGAGGGTTGGGGACCAGCCTGGGGAGGGGGACCCCCAACCCTCTTGGCCCATCTGCTGTCTTCTGGCACAGAGCTCCTCCCGAGAGGAAGAGTTGACACAGTCTAGCCTCAGCTTAGAGCCTCGCTGGGGTCCATAGTCCTGATTGTATTATTAGGACCCATAGCATGTCTCTCTCTCCTGACCCTCCCCTCCCAGGAGCCAGTCACAGCCTGGGCCACAGACCGCACTCGTCCTCCGGCCTGTGCCCACCCATGTCCGTCCACCCGCCCGCCCCGCCCCGCCCTTCTACCTGCTTGGCATTGCCAACCCATAAGGTCACCGAGTGGAAGTGAAGGAAGCGACCCCTCTCGGGCTGTGGAGGGAGGGAGGGGTGACCGTCAGTACCTGCAAGTGGCCTTGAAAAGTACAAGAATGGGGATAGGGTCCCCAGTCCGAACCCCAGAACTCCGGAGCAGCGTGCCCACGCTAGCCTCTACAGAAGCTTCTGGAGGGAAAGGAACCCAGGAGGTTGGCTGCAGGAGGCCCCCCTTAATCCCAGGCCTGCCCAGATTCTGTGAACGGAAGCAGCTTTAGGTTGCAGCAAAGGGGATTTCAGTTAGATTTGAGGAAGAACTTCCCGACAGGTTTATGAGACGGGCAGGTGTTTGAGAAGCAGTGGCTGTTTTTAAGGTGGGCGAGGTGGCGTCCAGCTCAGTCGGGGGAGCCGGGAGATGAGCTCGTAGCTCCTTCACACGCCCACTGGTGGTGGTGTCTGCTGCTGCTGGCACTCGGGACTTCCTGGACCCTGTCCCCATCCAGGCCTGACCTGCAGGTGCCCCTTCTGCTCACCTTCACGCCTTTGTCGCTGTATGACGTCTAAGAGAGAGACGTTCAGTAAGAGGGGGCCGAGGGTGCAGACCCACCACCCTGGGCGGCCGGCACTTACCATGGCTGGTGTGATCACACTTCCTTCTGGGAGGAGAGGGGGACAAGAGGCCGGGGCGCTGCTGGACACAAGTATTTAAGGCAGCAGGTCCCACCCCTGCCTCTAGGCCTTCCCACCCACGAAAGGTTCTCTGATGCTTCTTTGCTGGAATGGGAGCACACTGCCAGGTCCCGGGGGAGTGACTTGCCTGGGCCACTCACATGTAGGGGGCAGAGCCCGGGCTTCAAGCCAGAGGACCCCAGGCGGGGACTCTGATCTCTGCCCTCCAGACTCCGTGCCCAGAAACCTCACCGGCCGGCTGCGCTGGCCAGCTGAGTGCGGCTGTGGCTCCAGAACTGGCAGATACTGGAGGGTGTGGGGGGGTTGGAACAGGTGTTGGAAAGGCCATTTGCATTGTAAATTGTGTAAATTGTGCGGTGACTGTAATGGTTTAAGGCGCAGGTAGGAGCCAGAATCCCACATCTGCCACATCCTGTATCAGTCCCCGAGCCCGTCTGAGCCTCAGTTGTCTCATGTGTCAAATGGGCGCAGTGAAGGGGCCCAGGGAGGAGGGAATTCCAGCAACCAGCCTCTCCGGGACTGGGGTCACTGTTAGTACAGGCTGTGACTCACTGTGTTTCTCTGAGTTTCCAGCTTGCTGATGGAGAGAGAGTCAGGGGGCTTTGCATCTACCCGCTAGAGTACTAGGGAAGAGTTCAGGTCTTGCCCCAGGCTCCCTGCTCCCTGAGCGTTCTGGGGAGGTAGAACTGCCCCTGGACAGGGGGAGGGAAGATCAGGACGTCCTCCAGCTCCTGGCAGGTGACGAGGATGGCTGGCTCTTCTCTGGGTTGACCAGAGGGCTTCTGGACACCTGCCTGCCTCTGCGCCTGCCCACCCCACCTCTGCTCAGCCCCTCCCTCCTCCCAGAAGATGAACTCCCACCCCTCCTCCAGGGCTGGATATCCCTTTTCCAGGCTCAGACCCTGTGACCTCGGCTCCTGCCTACTTTGACGCCCTGTTGTCTTGCATTTTGCCTTTCAAAATACCCTGGATCAGCCTCCCTTTTAGAATTCTTTTTAAAATGTAGACTAACATCCTCCTGACTGGAGGCAACCTCAAGGATGGTGCGTTGAAATGCTCCCATATTTCAGATTAGGAAAACTGATCAAGAGCAAGAAGGTGCCCATGGTTAACTCCTTCCTTGCCAGGGGCAGAGCGGGCTTGTACCATCTACTTCCTCCCCAAACCCTCCTCTGGGAAGCCCTCCGTGACCTCCCAGACCTGGGCACTAGAGAGCGTTCCCCACCCTGCTGGCAAGTGACAGAGTCTGGAATGTGAACCAGCTGCCCACTGGCCGCACCAGACAGCTGGGGAAACCGAGGCCTGGCTGGGTGATGGCATGTCCCCAGGGACAGCTGGCCAGTGAGTCTTGGGATCCCAAGTCTGACTTCTGGGCGGCCAGAGGAGGTGGAGCTCACGCCACAGTCCAGGCACGTCCCCTCTTCTGTTTCATGGGCAAGTCTAGAGGCAGGTGGGGGCTGCCGCTCACCCTTCTCCTCCTAGACCCCTTCCTCAGCCTGTCCTCGAGGCCACCACAGCCCCTCAGGGTTCAAGTTTCCAACTGAGAAAGCCCAGAAGGGAGCTCATGAGTCCAGAAGGTTCCGTGGGGGTGGGACTGGAGGACAGTGTGCAGCCTTCCCTGCCCCCAGGGCCACAGGAACGTCCTGTCCCCTGGCCTGCCCAGCCTCCCTCACCCGTCCACCTGAGCCTGGCCTGGCTCTGTGTCCTGGGCACAGAGTCAATGTTTATTAAACCCTGAGGCTGTAGCTTAGATGGGCTCCGGGCTCTGCAATGATGCTGGCTGGGGGCCTGCTCAGCCATCCGGGGGTGGGGGCTCAGTCCCCCCTCCCCACTGGACTTTGCTTCCAGAAACGCTGCGGGTCTCAGTCCGGATATGCCTCTAATTGCCACTCCCGTCTGTGGGCAGCGATTGGGGCCAGTGAGCTGGCGGGTCCCAGCCTCTGGGAGTCCCTGGCCCCCTCGCAGCTGCTCCCTGCTCAGTGTGGCCCAGTCAGATAAGAGGCGAGCGCTGGCCTGTTCCCACACTTCATTCCTGGTTGTCCCTGGGTGGTGGGGTGGTAGGGTTTAAGCCGACTGCCAAGCCCCTCTGCCTCGTTCCCTCGGAACACCCTCACCCTGACAGCTGACCGCCTAGGGGCTTCTACGAAGTACAAATGATGGGTGTCATTGTCGAGTCAACTCCAGCGATTATTAACCACGCGTGTGCAGAGTTCAGCTGTTTGTCGTTGTTGTGCCCTGTCCAGTCAGAGCAAACCTATAGCTGACCCTCTGGCAGGTTTTCTGGCAGTTAATTGCACGTGCCCATTTATCTCCCACGGAGCAGCTGGTGGATTCGAACCTGGTTTAATCTTTGATAAAATTAGAAGGGCAGGGGAGAAATTGTGTTTGTTATTGAGCACCTAACAACAATAACAACGACAACATAGAGAGAGCTCAGTTGGCCTAGTGCACAGAAAGTGATGCTACCAAGCCCAAGGTGGGTGATTTTAATCTGCGGCCCTCAGGCCTGCTCCAGATTGTTTTTTGTCAAACATTCTTCTAGGTGGTACGGCACTGGTCTGTGCATTGCTGTACAGACATAACTTGTGGTTGCTGTGATGCTAAACACTGGGACACTGGTGTGTCAGATGCTATAATGGTTACCCATGGTGGACAGTGTTTGCTGGAGCTCCCCGATTAAAACAAGCCTGGAAGCAGGAGCTGCATCCACTTCCGAAATGGCTTGCCTCGGGAAACTCAGGCCTTCCATTCATGGGGTCGTTATGAGTCGTCTACATCTCGACGGCACCAAACAACAACAACAACATTGAGCATATACATAACTGAAACACGCCCACCCAGGGTTGTACACGCGTTCTTTCTGTATGTGTTGTCTGCCTAGGAATGGTGTGGTCTAGGTACTGTTCATATTGTTGAAAAGGATATTTCCAGTGATGAAGTCCTTAGTCTTGCGGAGTTCTGTCACACAGTCTCCCATGTCATTCCGTCACCGAGCCGCATCTTCCAACTGCGGACCCCTCTTTGTTTCCAGCTGTTCTGTTCCCATCGCCACTGGTTCTCGATGCGTCCTGATTGCATGTTGGATCAATTTCAGATTGCATACGTAAGATGAGGGGAAAGGCTAAGTAAAAATTCCAAAATATAATTTAGGGAGATCAATTCAACATTGTGGTGACAGGCCATCTGCTGGGTCCTCCTGTCCAGTGGCCACCGGCTTCTCTTCACCGCGTCTCATGCCTTCAGTGCTCTCTCACGTCTTTCTCCACCTCTCCTGCCCTTTCTCCCTGCCTGTAGCACTCGCACTGTTTCCTATATGATACGGTGTGAATATTTGGCTGTTGTATTTACATTCCCAGCAAAATATATAAACACTGGGGTGGTGGAAACCCCAAAAGAAAAGGCTGTTGTGTGCTTTTGTCTGCACATTGAACAATGCCTGACCCATCAACGTCAATCGTTTTGTGTTGCTAAATGACCCATGAGGTGAAGTCCACATACAGGGAACAGTAAGTAAGTGTTGAAGAGAACGGAGAAACAATCTGTCTAGTGTTGGCGAGGGATCACCATGGAACTTCAAGTTCAAAAACAAGCAAACCTGAGAACGTGAAACAGTGAACGGATGAATGCGTGAAACACGATCTATATAAATGAAACACAATGTTGGCGACATTGTATGGAAACCAATATAACGAATTATAATAAAGTGAAAGATATTTACTGACTTCTAAACAAACAAACAAACACCAAGCAAACCAAAAAAACAGCAAACAAGTGAGTGTGAAAACTTAGAATTTGTGGCCAAGGTAAGATCCGTTTTCAAGGAGGGTCTGCGCGTTTGAGGAGCACGTGGAAGATTGCCATCTGAACTTTTGTGATCACTTTCTTCAATGGGAACAGTAGTTGAGCAGCTTTTTCTAGAAACCTTTTGGTGGAAGGTGAGTGACAAGGAGGGAGACCCTCAACACGATAGTGACCGTTTCAGTCTTCGCCCGCCTCCCACCTCTGTTGTCACTGTCCCCCTCTGTCCCTGGCGCGTGGACGCAGCTGGTCACGTGTGCAAGTGAACTGTTGCAGCGGCCTTCCCATAAAGCTTTGTTTCTAAAAGTGGATGGTGAACCCAACAGAGTGTGGTCCAGATGTGAAGGGAGGTGCTTTACCCTCGACAGTCAGCAAAACAGAGGAAGCTTTGATTGGCCAAGAACAGCTGCAGGCCTTCGTCTCGTGGATTCCACCAGTGTCCATCAGAGTGCCAAGCCTGGCCATTATTGTGCTGGTGGCTTTTGTTCTACATTTATTGCCGACTCTTTCCAGAACCTTCTACTGTGATTCCTTTCAGAATCGTTAGCAGTGTAGCTAGGCACGATCCAGCCGTTCTGGTCTCTGAGCCATGGAGGTAAAGCTGCTTTGTGCTTTGTTTCAGTTGTTCACATACTTGGGATTCAGCGGTGCGCGGTTTGGGGAGCAGGATTGAGATTGGCAGTGCAGTGTGTCAAGTGCCTTTGTTGTTAACATAACCTATTTGTGTGTGTGTGTGTGTGTGTGTGTGTGTGTGTGTGTGAGTGTACCGTCAAATCAGATCTGACTGGTACAGAAGATTGTCCCTCCTTCCCTGGCAGAGCATCTGGTGGATTCGAACCGAGCGCCTCTGGGATTGTAGTTGCAGCTCCTTGCCACTAGGCCACCAGAGCTCCCCCTAACATAACCTATTTAATTACAAGGGAGACTCTGGTGGCCTAGTGAGTAAGGAGCTTTGCTGCCAAGCGACACCACCGCCGCTCTGAAGGAGACAAATGGACAGTCTCTTTCCCTGAGACTTAGAGCCTCTGAAAATCCCCTGGAGGCTCAGCTCTGTCAGTTCTGACTGG